TCTTGTGTTAACTGCATCAAGCCTGCGATCTATTTACATCATCAAACTGTTTCATTCTTCATTTGCGATTCTTAATCCGACGTTTAATTCAGTCTATTTCAGTTCTTATTCGTTTCGGGTGGTTTCTTTCTTCAGTCTCCTTTTCAGGAAATGAAATGAATGCTTTTTTTTGTTATGGTCAGGTGATTTACTTGGACCTGTTTAAAATTGTCCACTCCACCCCGATGATGTCCTTTGTTTTGTTGGCAGTATGTTTTGGGTCATTGTCTTGCTGCGTGATAAACTTCTACCCGATTAGTGTGGAAGTATTTCTTCTGTAAATTGGCAGACAAAAAGTTCTGAATTCATTCTGCTGTTACCATCATGGGGTCCATCGTCAATAAATATGAATAAGCCTGTTACAGAAGTAGTCATGAAAGCCCAAGCCAAAAACACTGCCTCCACTATACCTTACATATGAGCGTGTATGCTTTGGACTATAAGCAGATCCTTTCTTTCTCCACACTTTAGCCTTTTGGTAGAGATTACTATTGGTCTCATCAGTAAATAAAACTTTCTTTTAGAACTTTTGGCGCTCATTTTTTTACGTTCTTGGACTTCAGATTCTTACTTGTGGTATGGTGACAATATTTCTGATCTCGAAGTCTTCTTCGAACCGTGGATTGTGAAACCTTCATCCCTGCACTGTGGAGGTTGTCACTGTTGTTTTACCTCACAGCTCTGAAAATGTTTCTGCCATCATATGCTATTGTTTTCCTTGGCCGACCTGTTCTATGTCTGTTGTTCAGTACACCATTAGTTTACTTCCTTTTCAAGATATCTCAAATTCTTGTGTTTCCCAATGTTTTCTTTTAGGTTAAAGTCCGGTAATAGACTTGGCCAATTTAAAAATATCTACTTCCCAACCGCTGTCCTTTGTTGTGTTGCCAGTATGTTTTGGGTCATTGTCTTGTTGCATGAGAAACTTCCTCCCGGTTAGTTTGGCTGCCTTTCTCTGTAAATTAGCAGACAAAAATGTTTCTGTCGTCTTCGGAATCCATTCTGCTGCTACCATCATGAGTTGAATCATCAATAAATAAGAATGAATCTGTTCCAGAAGCAATTATGCAATCCTAAGCCAAGACATTGCCTCCGCCGTTATTTACAGATGAGCTTGAATGCTTTGGATTATAAGATCTTTCCTTTATTCACATTTTGGCCTTTTCCATCATTTTGGTAGAGATTAATTTTGGTTTATTCAGTTCATAGAACATTCTTGCAGAAATGTTGTCACTCATCTCTGTCCTTCCTTGCAAATTCCAATCTGGCCTTCGAATTCTTACTGCTGATGAATGATTTGCATCTTGTCGTATGGCTTCTATATTTCTGATCTTGAATACATGATTGTGAAACCTTCAGCGCTGAACACTGGAGGTTGTTGATGATACCACGGACTGTTTGTTTTGGGGTTTTCGTCACAGCTCTCAAAATGTTTCTGTCATCAAATGATGTTGTTTTCCTTAGCCAACCTGTTCTATGTCTATTTCCCAGTACACCAGTAGTTTATTTTCTTTTTCAGGACATCCCAAATTCTTGTGTTGCCCAAAGTTTATACAATGCCTCTGACAGATCATTCTTCTTTTCTCAGCTTCTCTCTCTCTCTCTCTCTCTCTCTCTCTATATATATATATATATATATATATATATATATATATATATATATATATATATATATATATATATGTGTGTGTGTGTGTGCGTAAAAATTCAGGTATAAATAAAAAAAAAGACAAAAAAAGTAGTTCTTTTTGTCGTTACTCGTCTATATGAATGATGGTGAACATATGTTTGTATGTATTTTTTATTCATTTCATCCCAAGTAAGGCAATAAAGCCACTAAGATGCAAGTTTTACTAGGAAATCCATAAGCAAGAAGTGAGATAGAATAAAGTGTTAGGATAGAACCTACGGTTACATCTAGCCATTTCAGCTTTAAAATGATGATACCTTGCTGCCAATCTAGTACTGCACTTAAATTCATAAAGTCAGGGTACCATAGAGGAAAGTTCATCAGGACAGTTACCATGAAAATATTTATTAAAAAAGGTACAGGGAAGTTATGTCGCTGAGGTAGGAAAGGGACTGAAGCCAAGATGCCAGGTCTGGGCCAATAATATTGCAGATTCTTATTTCGCTCTTAAAAAGAATCTCTGAATATATAACAGGAGCATCAGGCCATATGTGTGCAGCAATATTCAAATCAAGGACGATTGGTAGACTTATAAATATGTAAAATAGATTTTGTTTAGAGAAATCGTCAAGCCGACACAGTGAACAAACTTTCCTAGCAGTAAACTTAGCAATTAATGCAATATAGTCTTTCCACTTCTTCTCTGCGGATAACAGTAATCCGTTCAGCCTGAATGAGTCATTCTCCTGGAGGTTAGCATTAGCCAAGGGTTTCCGCAGACGGATAAAAGTGACCAGTTTCGTTTTGGAGGTGTTAAAATGAACGAGCTAT